TGTGTGCGTTGTGTGCGTGTGTTCATCTGTGCGAGTGTTCGTCTGTGCGTGTGTGTGCATTTGTGTGTTGGGGGGTGTATGTATGTGTGTTCTGTTTGCTCCTTGTCCTGTGCTCAATGTTCTGGAGGGAGGATGTAGGAGCCAGGCTTTGGCGTAGGGTGGGTCAGCAGGTAATCCCCACTTCCTACCCTCCCTCTGGATGACTTTGCTCACCTCTGCCCCTCTGAACAGCCTCTGTTGGGTTTATGTTCTTAATCTTTTATTTTTTTAATTTTTTTTTTTCAGTCTGCAGGCTGTGAAGGCACAGAAAGAGCCTTTGTCACCCAGCCTGGGTCCTCCAGCAGAGTCGGCTAGGGCCCAGGTGGGTCTGATGAAAACTTGTTTGCTTCCCAGAGAATTCCCAGGATCCACTGAGAGCAAAGCAACTGTGGTCCACTGGGCCAATTCTATTGTCTCTCTCTCTGTGTCTCTGTCTCTGTGCCTCTGCCCCTGTCTCTGTCTCTCTATCTCTGTCTCTCTTTCTCTTTCTTTCTCTCTGTGTCTCTATTTTCTGTCTACCTGTCCATCTGTCTGCCTGTCTCTCTCTCTCTCTCTTTCTCTCTCTCTCTCTCTCTCTCTCTCTCTCTCTCTCACACACACACACACACACACACGCACACTCACACATGCACAGAGCTCAGAGGATCCCTGGATGTTGGGGCTGGAACCTGACCCTTGAGATGTTTCTTGGGTCCTCACTTCACATCTATTTTTTTTTCCTTTCTCACCTCAGTTCTCCAAAATGAGCCAGGAAGGGTGTTCTGGGGCCCAGAACACTGTTCAATCTATGTGACTTTCCCTAACTCCACACTCTCAGCTAGGCTTTTATTTGGGGCCTTTATTTGGCTTCCTGCTGGGTAACAAGATTTCATACACAAACACAATAGGGCTCATCTATAACCCAACCAGCCTGTGACAGTTGGATACGTGTCTATAGCGCGCCCACTGCGTGCCAGCAATATGAGGATATGACTGAATAAGCAGACACCTGTGTGTGAGGACCGGCTCTAGCACAGGATGGGGAAGAGACCCAGGGAGTGAGGATATTTCTGCAAGGAACCTGTTTGGTTCACCCATTCCACAGAGGAAAGAGCCCAGTGACTGCCAGGATAGGCCCTGCTGGGTGTTGTAAGAAACTGGTGGGTTTTCCTCTGAGCATCCTGTGAGGAAAGAGAAAATGTAACTCATGTTGCCTGAGTTTTTCTAATGCTCAGCATTAATCCACTTATCCCTACCTCATGTCCTGTTCTTCCAGTCCAATACTATTATTTGAATGTGCTCATGGGTTCTGAGATGTCATACTTTAGCCTCAAAAGTCTAAGGCTTCACTCCCCCACCCCACCCCCAGCCCCTCAGTTCTACAGGGATAATCTATGAAGCTGGAGGCAGTGAGATGAAAGTTCTGGAAAGAACATTCCAGAAGTCTATGTCTCAATATCTTTCCCTTATGGGCTTCTTGTCTGCTATGATGACAAATAATTATACTGCTATCAAAGATGTATTAAACAGAAACAGGAAACACTTACAGAAGTTCATCAAATACAAATAGGTGTTCAAGAAAGGGTAAGAAAATATCCTTAGATGAGATCATTTCCCCTCATACCTATCATTCATTCTAGCCCTGTGATGATTAATGCTAAGATCAATATACAATATGAATTTCATTTGATCCCAAGTCATAATTCCTATTTCTTCTGGAAACAAAAATCTGTCTTCTCTATCATTGACCATCTGCTCAGAGCTTCACAAAGTTACATTAAAGGTACTGGCAAGTCTATGTTTCCTTCCAAAATTCTGGGGAATAATCTCCTGCCAAACTCATTTAGGCCACTGAATGACTTAATCCTTTCATTTGTTCACCCATTCACTTATCCTTGACTTTTTGGACAACAAGGATTCCTGTTTTCTCACTCAAAGTCTCAGTTCTGAGAAGTTAGCCCAGTCCATATGCAATAACCAATAATTATTTGGTAATGCCTGGTCTAGTCAGCTGTCAGAAAGCTCTCTCTTTTCTTTTTCTGCCTACATCTCCATAAGCCAGGGAAAGTTTTTGTTTTGTTTTGTTTTATTTTGTTTTGTTTTTATTTCAAGCTCCCCAGTGGTGCAATTAGACTCACTCTGATAGCTTTCATGATTGAGATCAGTTATGCCACAGAAAATCATACAGTCAGGCCTGGGGTAACTCATCACTTCTGAAATTCTGGGAATTAGGGCAGAACATTTTCCCGATTTTGATTCTGACCTGCTATCTCCCCAAAATTCTTTTTTCCCCAGATTCATAGTGAAAATGGCAATTTCTTTTTTCTCTCTTTTTATAGTGGGTTAGTGTTCTGTATATATAGTTATCTTTATTATTTGTAAGAGGAAGATTTATTCATTCATATTTGTTATTGTATTTCCAAGTCAAACATAGCATTTGGCATTCTTAGATAACAAAAATATACTGGAACTGATTTTTAAATTTTTCATTTGGCTTCACTAAAAAATTTATGAATCAAGCAACATCAAAATTGTTATTCAAAATAGAAGGTTTTTATAGCCAGAAAGAGGATAAGATAAGGTCATTAGTAAGGGAAAAGATTACTTGTGGGGGCAGGGAATCATGCAGATTACCCGGGAACTAACCAATACTAAATAGGGAACTCCTGATCGATCAGTTAAAATTTCCAGTTCGGGGGCGTAGGGTTTAAGGCCCTCATGGTTTAATCCCCAGCACTGCAGGATATGGCTCCTTCAGGCTGCACAGAGCCAGGATTACGCCCAAGCACCACCTGTATGTCCCACCACCACCAAAAACAAATTCACTATTGTGAGAGGCTGAAACTGCAATTGAAGTTGAGGACTAAATTACGTGTCAGTGGACCCAGCACAAATGGTTCCATGTGGAGGCTCTCTTTTTGGAAAGAGCATGTATCAGTACTAAGGAAAATTTGAAACTGAAGGTAGAATGGTGAATGGATGAGTGGAGGAAGAAAGTACCACACTGCATGGAAAGTTCAGGGGTGCAGGGTCACCTCTGGGCCTTTATGTTAAATATGAGTGACATATTGAGATGCTCAAGACTGAGGTTCTTAGAACCAAAGCACACCCATTTTAGTTGTTAGTAGCCCTTTTACTATTCTGTACCATTATGTAACTGAGAGCTGAACCTCCCCTGAACCAGAGACCACATCTTGGGAAAGGGAACAGAATGAACAAAATTTACGATGTTTGAAGAGAGTGCCAGCCTATCAGTAAAACGAAGGAATCTAGTGGTTGGTGAGGTATGGAAACAATAGACCAAAGGGGCACCCACAGGTGGCATTAACCAATCAGCTCACAGGTGAGTTAGGGAGAAAGAACAATGTGGTTTTAGGGTACTTATACCCTTCCCCACAGTTGGTGGGGGGTCTTACCCTGACCATTTCTCTATAGGGCAAAGCCCTGACTTGTCAGTAACAACTCCCTCCATCCCTCCCTCCTTCCCTCCTTCCCACCATCCCTCCATCTCTCTCTCTCTCTCTCTCACTCTCTCTCTCTCTCATACATACACACATACATACATACACACACACACACACACACACACACACATTCACTCACTCACTCACTCTCCCTCACTCTGTAATAACTCTCTAATAAAATCTTTGAACTCCTTATGGGTGCCTTTTGTTCGAATTGAAGATCCTCACAAGGTAAAGAATGTAAGTCACAGTAAGATGAGTTTATCAGCATGAACAGAGGCCCAGATTTCAAACGCCGTGTCCTCATGAGCAGCGTACCTTGCTGTGCTTGGGGAGAGCCTAGAATCCTCATTCTGTCTTGAGTTAGCCTGATAGTCTTGGGCAAGATTTTTTGGCTGCTCTCGACCCAGTTTTATCACTGGGAAGTGTGGATAGCAGCAGTCTGCAGGAGTTGGCCAGAGGAGTAGTGACTTCAAGAGTTCCAACCAGGTTCGCTGTAGGCTGTAGGTGCTCGCTTAAATGGAATTCCCAAGGGCCAGGTAAGTCAGCCACATCAGAGTTCTTATCATCTTGTTGGAGAAATAAGATCTTAAACACAAATGAAGTAAAGACATACAAGAGTGCATGAGTTTTCATGAGTTGCATGTCTTTTTATTTTATTTTCTTTAACAAAGAGAAAAGGTTACCTTAGTGGGAAATAAATATTCATATCAAGTGATTGATCAGACTTTATTCTGTTTCTTAGTCATTGGTGAAAAAACATCAAAAAGCAAAAAAAAATTAAAAATAAAATGTACTTATGATCCAAGAATATTTTCTATCAAGCTAGATTGCTAAGAAAAAGATCCCCTATCTTCACAAGTAATTTTCCCTTGCTAATGATCTTGTTTCCTTTTGGCTATTAAGAGCTTCTATTTTGAATGACAATTTTGTTAGTCTCTGATTTGTGAATATTTTAATGACATCAATTGGAAATCTTTAAAATGAATGCCTTTATATTGTTATTACCATATAATACTATGAACCATGTTAAACTTGAGAGTACAGCAACAAATAAGAACGTATTCCTATTCCTCTTGTTTTTCTTTTTACTAACTAAAATTAAAATCACCGATAAATTAAAAAAATTTACTTTGCAGGGTTTAACTTTATCTATGAATTTTGAAGAAGTAAGTTAAACCACAGTTTTTAGTTAGCTGCTAACCTACGTATCACATGCATGCGCGCGCACACACACACACACACACACACACACACACACACACACCCCGAGTGGGTTTCTTCTCTAAATTACGTTTAGAAAGAAATTTTATTTAAGGGCCAGGGTGATACACAAGTGAAGAGTACATGCCTAGCAAATGCAAGGTCCTGAGTTGGATCCTTGGCATATAATGATCCTGTGTTCACCTCCAAGTATAGTCTTGGTGGCCATAGGGCATTGCCACTCTGCCTATGACAGGGATACTTCTGCCAGGATTTTATTCAGGCCAGAAACTCTGCTAGGTGTGATCCCTATGAAAGTAAATAAACCAATAATTTACATTTGTGTGTTATCCTTGCTCAGGGGCTATGCTAATCTTCTCTGTATCGTTCCAATTTTAGTATATGTACTGCCAAAGCGAGCACATTTGGAGTGATAGCACAGTAGTAGGGCATTTGCCTTGCGTGCAGCCATCCCGGCCAAGCCGGGTTTGATTCCTCTGCCCTTCTCAGAGAGCCCAGCAAGCTACTGAGAGTATCTCGCCCGCACAGCAAAGCCTGGCAGCTACCCGTGATGTATTCAATATGCCAAACACAGTAACAATAAGTTTCAAAATGGAGATGTTACTGGGCCCACTTGAGCAAATCGATGAACAATGGGAGGACAGTGACAGTGACAGTGAATTTACATTAAAGTGATCATTTAAATAACAAAGCATTTGTCTTTGATGGACATATGACAATTCCTAGTGTCCAGGCTGAATAATTAAATGACTCATAAATTTAAATTACTTAAGTTAAACTCATGTTTATTACTGCCAGGGGAGGAAACAATCTAAGTAAGAAGAGACACAAAGGAAGAGATACCAATTCACCATGAGACTTTTGGGGGAGCTGATAGATATTTATTCTGATCTTTACACTGTGGTGCTAGGACTCCCAGAACTTTTAAAGACTAAAAGAGAAATTCTTATTTATTTATTTATTTATTTATTTGAATCATAGTGAGATACACAGTTACAAAGCTGTTCATGATTGTCATGATTGTCAAAGCTGTTCACGATTTCCGTCATATAATGCTCCAACACCCAACCCTTCACCATTGTATCTAACCATGTCCCTTTGTCCCTCAATACCTGACCGAACTCCATTCATATCTCATGTCCATTGCTGCCCTTTCTGATCTCTCGTTTGGAAACAGTTTTAGCTTGACTTAAAATGAGAACACGTATAAGGGAGTCACCTCAGAGTTCTCAGAAGACAATGCTGTGAATAAACTTAATTCCTACAAACTGAAAAGACGTATTTTCTCTAATTGTCAATGAGGTAGAAATTCTCTGCCTTGATCTTTATTTGCCTAAAATCCTCTGCTCTGCACCACACCAGACCTTCCATGTCTGGATTTTTTTTACGGAATTGGGGGAGTATGTTTGGAGTGGACAACCTATTAGTTGACCTTTCAACTCCCCCTTGAAAAAAATAAATTAGTCTTTTTATCCTTGATGGAAACTGTCTTATCTTCCACTCACTTTCTAAAGAAATCTAAAACCCAAGACCTCCGTCCCCAGGCCCCAACGCTCAGAACCAAGTCCACCTCTTCTACTCCTGGACACTCACTAGGAGACTCCAGCTGTAGGCCTCCTTGCCCTGCATCAGAGTTTGAGTTCCATTTGTGGTTCAGAAGTTTGGGTTTCTGTCCCATCCTTTATGATCTCAGAGAGCTCAGTGCCCTAATGTTTTTATCACACCATTCCTCACAATATTGAAGCAATAGCCTAACATCTGTCAACAGATAAATGCAAAAAGAAAACATGGATCATACATGAAATTAAATATTATTCAGCTTTCAAAAAGTGGGGGATTTTGCTAAATGTGATATCATGGGAAAACTCTGAAGATATTTTACTACATGAAGTCATCTAATCACTGAAGCATGATTCTACTTTATCTTAGGGATAAGATTGTCAAAATCATTTGAAATAGAATAGAATGATGACTGCCATTGCTTAGGGGAGCAGGAAATGAAGAGTTGCAAACACCATGACGGTTTTAGTTTTGCAAGACAAACAATTTCTAGAGATGTGCTGTATAACAGTGTGCATGTTGTTAGCGTATGGTAATCTACATTTAAAATTATGTTAGAAGATAAGTCCTATGTTATGTTCTTATCCCAATAAAATAAAACTTTAAAAATAAAGTGTCTAAATCAGTCAGAGTCAAATCCAGATAAAGCGCAGGGAATTCTGAATCAGCAATGCTCCTGTTTTCAGGACAGCTCCTGTCCAAACCAGTGGAAACTGTTGAATGAATAAATTTACTCATTGGCCTGGTGTATTCTCTTAATACTTCTCCAGAAAAGAGATAAATTAGTAATTTTAGAAGAACAGCAGTGATATTGATAAGGAAGTCATTGGTTTAGTGCTTGTGTCTAGTTACACCTCCAGATCCCTCTGTGTATTATTTCATATGCACAACACACAACACACCTGGAAGATAATGAGTGTGATGGAATCCCCATTTCAAGAATCTAGAAACTGAGCATGGCACTGTTATGGGACCCGTTAGAGCTTTGCAGCTGGAAGTGACAGAAAGAAACTGATTTCATGTCTAGATCTATCTTCTAGAAACTTTCATTCCAGCCTGGGCTGAAAAATGATTTGAAACACTTTTCTTTTAGCAGTAAGTTTCTCTGATTTCTGAGAAAAGAGTTGCATATTTTCTGCTGTAAAAATAAAACACTTGTTTCCTGCCAGCTTTCAATCTTCTTCCCACCTGAAACTTGAGCTATCATGCTCTATTCAGAATAACTCAATCAAAGAGGGCGTGTCTTAAATTAATGGTGTAACCCCATGGAAGCTGCTTTACCAATTCCTGGGTCCATTTCTTGCTTATAGCCCAAATGCCCTGTTTTATAAGTTGAGACAGTTCCATCAGCATCAATAACCTCTTCTCTCTCTTCTCAGACTATAACACATAACATACTCTGGAAATGTGACTGCCCCATCCATGGGTGCTCCTATGAGTCTGCCTCTTCTTAGTTGACAGGCTTAAGCAAGGTGCTACAATTTCCAGGTTAGAAAAATAAGATTCAGAAATTTTCTTTGTCATCTTTCAAGGCTGGGCAATTTCCTTGCTGTTGAAATCAACTAAATGATGTAAAGCAATAAAATAAAACAAAAAGCAAGATCTGTAATATAACAGCAGCTATATGTCAAAGGGTGCATTATTCATCTGTGGGCTGGAGCTATAGCACAGAGGGTAGGGTGTTGAGCAAATTGATGAACAACAAGAGGACAGTGCTACAGTGCTATATGTCAAAGGTTCCATAATTCATCTGTGACATATTTCCAAGAATACTCAAATTAGTATTGCTTATAAATGTAAAAAAATTTGGCAATAGTCAAATGTTCAACAGTAGATATAAAGTCAATTAAATGACAACATAGGACTTTTTTTCTTTACTCTTCACAAGAATCCATAATTTTCTGCTAAGTGGGAAAATAAGTAAGCATAGTAGTACGGCAAGAATCTCCACTTCTCATTTAAAAATCTTTGTTAAAGAAATATTTTTGTAGTGTTGCTTATATTTTGTTTACATTAAAAATGTTATAGCTGTTATAAAAATAGGCACATTCTATTTTGTAAAGTAGAAACTTTACTTTTCTGTGTACTAAATTTTATATAACACAATAACTCAGTCACCTGCCTGTGTTAGTTCATTTAGATTTACCTTATTCTGCCAATGCCACCTTGCATTTTGATCTATTTATTTCTTTATTCCACCAATACCAAATGCCTAGCATATGCCAGATAGCACATAAGGCAGAACTTCAGTAAGCTTAGTATATAAAATAGTTGCAATTTCCTTAGAGTTTCTCAACTGGGCATAAACGTATTTTCTTTTTGTTTAAGTAATAACATGCTTGAATGAACATCTTTGTATATCTCACTCTATTCCACTCTGTGTGTCTATGTGCATGTTTGAGGGGGCTGGGGGCTAGGTGCAGAAATTTCTAGAAGTGATTATCTAAAAAGATTAGCAAAGGGTTCATATAACTTACATTTATATGTATACATAATTTTTCTAGGATATTATAAAAGTTTGAGAGTCCAACTCCCTATACCCAAAATTGTCATTTTTTTCTTTCAGGAGTATATGAAGGAATAATAGGGCATACGTAAGGCTGATTTATATACTTGTGTTTTAGAGAAAAAGGGAAAGTAAATAAGTTGAATTTATATGCTTTCTCCTATGTGCTCAACATTTTCATAGTTTATTGGAGTTTTTACAAAACCACTTCACCATTTCTTGGAAGATTTGGGAGGAGAACTACATAAATATGCTTAGAATGAAAGACCAATTGGATATAAAGAATGTTTCTCATTATATAGATTAGAGGGGCTGAAACGATAGCACAGTGGGTAGGGCACTTGCCTTGCACATAGATGACCTGGGTTCCATTCCCAGCATCCCATATGGTCCCCCAAGCACCACTAGGAGTAATGCCTGAGTGCATGAGCCAGGAGTAACCCTATGTGCATTGCCAGCTGTGACCCAAAAAGCAAAAATAAATAAATAAATAGAAAAACAAACAAATAAATAAATAAGAGAAAACTAGCTTGGAGGAAGGTTTGAAACTTCTTTGATACACCCCTAGCAGGAAGTACTAACTGCTTCCTCAGGTCACTTTCTGTCCACATGTGTTTGCTTGCAGAGTGCAGAGTGTGGACCATGAGGTTGGTCTTGTAGGATCACCATCCTGAAATGGATGGCTGTAGAGCAAGAACTAGCCACACAGGAAAGGAAAAATAGTGTCTGAATGTCCCAAAGTCTCCTGGATCTATAAAGTAGCATCATCTGTCCCTGCTATTCAAGAAAAACAATTCCACTTTCCTAAATTACATGCTTCTATCTGTATTATAGGGATTACATGTCCTCCCCCATCTGCTCAGCAAGCATCCATTGCCCTTGCCCTCTGGCTTGGCAGTATCAATTAAGCTGACAAACTGCCTGTGCTCACATGCCCAGCCTGCTTCTGCATTCACCCACCTTTGCAAGGAGTGGGAAGATTCTGACAAATATTTACAGAACGAAAGGAAGTCAGATAGGAGATTGTGAATCCTGGGCCAGCGCTAGCTGCCTAAGAACAAAATGGACTCAAGGGGTCTCGTTTTGTTTTCACGGTTGGTGAGGAGGCACCATCAGTAGAGTCAGAGAAAAGTCTTCGAGTCAGAGAAGTCTTCAAGTCAGAACACTATTCCATTGAAGAGGAAAGATAGTTGAGAGACTTCCCATAAAAACCCTGTCCTGCCACTTACTTGGCTGTGTAATCTTGGACAATGAACTTACTCTGCTCCTGGAATATGCTGAGGAATGTGTGACATGAGTTCTTTAATACAGTTCAAGGGTAACTATATGTTTGCTA